CCCCATAGCTCTTCGAAGATCCAGTCTTCTGCAAAACCAGTTTTTCAGAAACTCCAAAAAATAACCCAAGCCTTTCTTAATAATGCAGAATTGTACCCCGCAAACTTCTGATTAAAATGAAATATCCCCAGCCCTACACGACCTTTCTTTGCAAAGTTATAGAATTTATAAGAAGAGCCCTAAATTAATTTTTTCCTTCTTATTTCTGTAGCTTTGAGCTGACAATGAACAATTTAGGGCTCTTCTTATAAATTCTATAACTTTGCAAAGAAAGGTCGTGTAGAGCTGGGGATATTTCATTTTCATCAGAAGTTTGCGGGCTACAATTCTGCATTATTAAGAAAGGCCTGGGTTATTTTTTGGAGTTTCTGAAAAACTGGTTTTGCAGAAGACTGGATCTTCGAAGAGCTATGGGGAAGTCCCATGGTCATATTCGGAATCAGCATGGTCGATAACCTATAACCCACTAGATGTCGATCACAAAGCGATTTATCACCTCGGGAGATTCTCTCGTAAGATCCACACCAACACTTTTAATGTTTAACTTGTTTTTTTATTCGTATATGTGCTGTTTTTTTCTAGACACAGTACTGAGCAAACGAGCAGACAATAATTCTAACTTTCATTTTTTCGCTTTGATTACCATTGTTCCTTTTCATCTTGCATTAATGCTTTCTTAGAGAACTTCTAGAAATCTATGAATCAAAAAGAATTATTAGTTTATTTTAGATTTTGATGCAATTCCTAATTGTCTTTTTTAGTTAAAATATCGTCACCAGGTTATATGGGTATGAATGCTGATGACTTAAGTGAATTGACTTGGTCAAACGGCGCTACATACGTTGCAGATAAACGATTTCCTCGAACAGCATCTGAACGATTATGTGTTGAATTAACAGAAGATGAATTAATAAACGATCGTCAAGCATATAAAAATAGTGTTGAACAAGGTGTTCATTATTTACATACAAAATGGTTAATCGATTCAATTGTTAAATATAAAGTACAACCGATTTGGAAATACCAGTGTACGCCGGCATTCGATTGTTAGTAAAACATTCTTTTTGGTTCAAACTCTGATCATGTGCACAGTTTTTGTTCATTCTATTTTTTGCGCTGACTCTTTATTTTGAATGAATAAATAAGAATGTAAATAAAACCTAGGATGAAAGACAACTTTGATACTTTGTTCTTCGTATGCGAAGACATGCGTTTTTACCTACAGGTGTTAAATATTTATTCTGAGTTCTAATTTTATTCCAAACGAACTAAAAAGAAATTTTTTTGCATACTAGACTATTTAAAAAATGTGATCTTTTGATCTACTGCCACTAAACATTTCTTTGGATTAAGTTGAAACTGGTGTTCATTTAATACATTGAATATTTCGTTCAGGTGTTTCATATGCTCTTCGAATGAATTAGAAAATACAATAATATCATTCAAGTAAATTAATACCTAATTCCGTCTTTTATAGCCAATAATATTATTCATTACGCTTTGAAACGTTGGAGGTGCATTCATTATCCCATTGATAGTACTTCAAATTGGTATAATCTGTCCTGTTTTTTCTTTATCTTGATCTTGTAATGGGATTTGATAATAGCCACTTTTGAGATCTAATTTTGTAACCATTTATGACCATCCGGACGTTGTTTATGCTCAGTTGTTGGTTGTGGAAAAGAATTTTTCTTTGTGATGGAGATTAATTTCCTGTAGTCAACAATAAAACAAAATTCGCCACTTGACTAGGCTGCCTCGATGGTGTCTGTAGACCTGCGGAGGTCTGCCCAGGATGGCCTGACGTACTTTTTTTCTTGCATGTCGCAAACGGTCTTTTTTTTGTAGAAAAGACCTAAGAAAATAATACAAGCTTCATACATTGTAATGTTGTATAATCGCAAGAACTTGTCAGCCGTAGGGAAGGTATCAGACTATTGAAACTGACACTTGTCAGTATATTTGAACGATAATGGTAGCCGTAAAGCGGGATATTCCGCTTTCGGTAGTAAAGAAAACTCACAACCTGTGAGAATATCTGTGTAATCCCGATAATAAAAGCGAGAGACAATTGAAGAAATGTTTCAAAGCATCATACAACTGTACAACTTTGGAAATCAAAATCAAAACAAAGATTTGTCTAATAAAAGAACAACTTGTTTATTTCGGGTTATAGAATCCAGATATCATAGAGTATGTAAAGATTACAGCTTGTTTTTTATTTGAATTGTTTTTTAAACGAAACAATGAGAATAAAGTCAATAAAAAATCACCAGAGTATCATCTATCAAAATTAATTGTATGTCAGGAGTTGAATTTTGTACTTCTCATGACCTAGAAGTTTCCACTAGGCCTCTACCCGATTGGTTTTTGGTGTCAAACTTTGAGGTGTTAAGGCCATTTGTTGATCTACTTGGTTGCTTTTTTTCTCGGATATGGGTGGCAAAGTTCTCTTTTAACTGCCATGGTGATGGGCGAATTAGTGTGGTTAGATCATCAGTTTATCAGTGATTATTTCTGGATGCTATGAGCTCTGCTGGCATATTTGTGTGGTACAAAAGGAAAAGAACAGATCAAAGAGAAGAACCTTGGGATACTCTACGATGTTGTCGAAGACGTCCGAGTTTATTCCACCGATTTCAAAATATAACATTTTTATCTTATGAGCACATACGAATGGATTCAACGAATTCTTCTTTCTAACTATCCGATTTACATAATTTGTAAATTAAGCCGTGATGTTAATAGTAATTTCAACTCTTCGGAACGAATATTGCAATAGCGTTTGAGTACTCGGTTTCGGTAATGCAATGTAATTTTTTGTATTAACTAAGTATTGCGGTAAAGTAACCATATATCTTTTTGCTTTCAATATTGATATACATCGTTCTTGAAGTGCGATCATGACTCTCTCATATAATTGAATACATTCAGCTGATCGGTCTTTCATTTGATCAATATCTTATGCCAAAACGATTGTGTTGCCTCAAGGATGACTTTAAACAGGTGCCAGTCTGTTTTTATCACAGTAAACTCATTACTTTGTTTAGTTATTATTGTTGTTAAATCCCATTGAATAGGATAATGACGCTGATTTCTATTAATTGATCTCGGTAAGCTTGATCTGTTGAGAGAGTGATTGATGTGATCATTAAATCAATGATATGATCTACAAGGTGTTGAGCGAGCAGAATTGTTCACTCTAAGGATGTGATTCTAATCAGTCTGCTAATACTGAACCTTTGCCATTGGTTATGACATCATGTCAATTGGAATGACGAGCATTTAGATTACCAAGAATAACGAGATTTTTGTTGTATTTGTACAAATCATTCAATAGATCCGTTGGTAAAGGATGTGATGGTGGTGAATAAATGGGGGCTACTATTAACTTTTTATTTTTATGATGCATATCAATAACAATCAGATTTAGTACATTGGCAAACTGAGTAACAATTTTATATGGAATTTCTTTGTTAATTCCCAGTACTACTCCTTCGAAAGAATTTTGAACAGTGTTGAAAATAAATAGCATAATCAGATTTCGAATTGGAAGCAAATTTATAATTCGTGTTATCATTGCTGTGTGTGCCATTTAAAGCAAAAATCACTGGAGTGTTGATGGTAATGGATTAAATCACAAAAATGAGTAACCAGACAGGAAATATTAAATAACAAGACTGCTAAATGTATCTTATACGTGTTCAATGTCACAGTATCGTTATGATTGTGCCATTCATCAATCACAGTGGTATTGATGTTGTTCTCCATTCATTTATGATACATTTGCAATTTTTCTGCCGATGCCATGTGTGATTATATGATTTTTTCTGACATTTTCTAAATTTCGATTTGTATGTATAGGAGGCGAAAATTCTGGTGCTGCCCGATTCATGACTGTTGATGATTATTTTAACTATTATTAGCGTATGTGGTTAAATCTGAGATTTCGTTTATTGTTTGTAATCGTGATGGTTGTTGCTCAGATGTTAAGTTTTGATTAGTCGCAAATATAGGTTATGCTACTGGAGATAGTGATGCTGATGGACGAAATTGTTGTCGATCCGAAGGAATTATGGCTGACTGATGAGCTTTTGGTGGATTTATATGTATTAGTTGATCACGCTGTTGATCATTGAATTCTATCACATTGGACTGATTCAATGTTCTGCAGACAGAGATGACGAGATCAGTTAAAAGCTGCACTACTTTTTTCCTCTTTTATGGATGCAATAATTATTTAAGTTGTTGACGCTTCGTCTTGTTGTACTATTTGTATTTCTCTGCATTACATGAACATATGAAGTGATTGTTTGTGGAGTATTACATAGAAGTTGAGCTGATGATGGGAACCAACACTTTCTTGGCGGTGGTGATGTGGAAATTTGTTGTTGTCTGGGTGACTGCTGATGTTGTTCTGGTGATACTGTCGCTTGTCGTCTTTCTTCTAGTAATGTTTTTCTATATTGAATTTTTGTTGGAAAGTGTTGAGCGACGGCTAAATGCGGACCACCACAATTTGCACACTGAGCCGAATTGGGGCAGTTGGAATTATTTTGTGCACATTTAAAGCATTTTTCAGGATTTTCACAGTTAATGGAGGTGTGCCCAAATGCTTGCTTGACAGCTAGTGCAGTTTTTCAGATGTAGCAGTAGTTTATAACCTCTGGTTGTATACCCAACTAATCCAATGTAACAAAATCCTGAATTTAGAATTTCCTGATCGCTATTGCTTCTTATATCAGCACCAATCTTGATGATGAACTACCGTCTTCGTTAAATATTCTCATTACATTTGCTGTAGATATATAACGATTTTTTATTAATGGAGTTACATCTATCCCATCCCATTGTTTAGGCACATCAAGAACTGTAACTGAATACGATATTGGTATAGGAATGGGAGTTTCAATGGCATATGTTAGTCCACATATATTCCTTGGTCGATTAGCTTCATCATTTAATGTGTCGAACGTGTAAGCAGCATTTGCAAATATTAGTAAGACAGTTGGATTTTTTGGATGTGAGGAGTATCGAGCTGTTGTAACGTTTAATCTGCTATTCATCTGATTCTGTTGGGAGTTTGTAGCACTGGCGATGTTTTGGAAATTTATTTCTTCTTCTATTTACTGTCTGAAAGCCGTCTGCCTTATCATTTTGCATCAACTAGTCCAAGGTTGGAATGTCCATATCATTATCATTTGTTATGTGATTATTTACTGTTACGGAAAAGCCAGATGAGTCTCTTTTTTATGCTGAGGTCGCATTTGCACAAAGCTAACTGAATCTAAATTATTTGTCGTCAGATTTTGACCGAAGTTACTCGTACTGATTCCTGATCGATTAGATGGTGTTTTTTTCATATCATGTAGCTATGTACCAGCACGCTAACTGGAGAATCTGCCATTCGTTATGATATATGCAACACAGACATTGTCCCACAGAGTGGACAATCGTCCGACAAAGTCATATTTCGTGTTGTAAAGTCCGATTATACTAGATGAGTATTTAGTCTTTTTAGAACAATAAAAATTATTATCACCTTCATTCTCGATTACTTTTTATCCAAAAGCTGCCAGTGACTCGTTGAAAAACTTAATTATCTGTCTAATTGTACACATCATATTACGTATTTGAGTAAAACTACATGTCTCTGTTAATGCTAAATTTAAACAATGATTACTATAATGCATGTATTTCTTAATAATTGCTTGACAACCTTTATAGATGATCGAAATATTTGAGATATTATTATACGTTTGTCCTACACAGTTGTAGAATGATAAATTACAACTATTTCATCCGTACATGAAACAGTACCAATAAATGTTATAAAATCTTCACGAATATCGCTTGTTGATTCATCACAATATCGTAAAGAAAAACTAGTTAGCTCAGTGGTTGGTGTATCGGTTGTTTCATCAACACTACTACAACAGACACGATCTTTCGTTCGACGTAAAATATTTTCGAATATAATTTCATGGATACATTCACTTTAACAAAACAACATACAACAGACGAGAAATTCGCGAATCGTCGAGTCATCGTCATCAATTCCAGCCATAAGCAGTGCTACTGCTCAACTTTCATCACTTGACAATGACTTAAACACACAGTTATATCGAAAACCACATCACCAAAATGCCACATCGATATTAACATCCATCACCTATCATTCATCTTTAGTCAACAATAATAATGCAAATTCGACATCCGATAATAATCTAGAACATGTGTTTTACCTCACAGATCTTCTCAAATAGCTCCAGTGGCATTCAAAAAAGATATTCTGCAACAGCAAACTGCATTGAATAATAAATAGTAGTTTTCTAAGTGATATTTAGGTTCGCCAAATACATTCGAAATATCGATAACTTCATCACAGTCGTCACCATCTGAAAAATCATTGAATACTGTAAGGTTGCGTCCGCGGATGGTATATTTGTACTTGCGTTGAATATGGGTTTCTTACAAAAATAGAATTTATTTCGTGTTAAAAATGATATGAATACAACAACTGCTCTTACATGGAAAAACTGCCCGTTTATATCGTATGATTGAATAAAACAGAACGGAATAAAATCATGTCATATCTTTGTCGAGGTGTATTGGAAGGGAAAAATCTCAAAAGAGAGAAAAATGTATACGAGAGTTTTGCAACCTAGCAATATCCTAATTCATCCGATTGTAGAATCTATTTACTGATAATCTCAGAAATGTATTTCGTGCTGAATTTTGGGAGAATTCAGAACCGTTGCCGCTGGATTAAAATTCACACAATAATTGCGATTGATGATTCGATCATGATGACGAGGAAGTCTCATACTCATTATATACTTCATACGTATGTAGAATAAACAACATTTGGATCCTATGTTTCTCTCAACAGATATCAGTTTTTTTGATCATTTTAATTCTGTATTTGCTAGTCATTACGTCAGTTTTCCCTGTCAAATATTGATTCAGTTGTAGGAAACAAGAGAGAACAACTGATTGAAAATTTTTTATACTAAATCTTTATGGATTTGATACGCTTTGAGAATCACAAAAAAAACTACCGTATTAGAGATTTATTCGATCCGCCCAATTCGAGCAGTGTTCTGTGTTCATGTTGTTCACCATGTCGATTCTCTTGAGAATCCTGTCCCGATTTAATAATAATAGTTCGTCGCTGAAAAACGAGACAAGACAAACACTTTATCAAACTATTATATAACATTTTTGATAATTCACTACGAGCTTGTTTTCCAGCGACAACACTGATAAATACATTAAATGCATAATTACATATTTCTAATGTTTTCAATAAATGAATTAATAAATGAATACATGGTAAATGAGGATTTTTAATATTTAAATAAAATTGTAAGAGATATCTAAACCAATAAGGAAAACACGGCTTATAAAGTTTTAAAAAGTTAAAGAATTTGAATGATAACTCACCGTGGTGAAACAGTAATAATTAATATTAATGATGATAAAAATATCATAGGTGTTACCCGTCTACTTC